AGCCCAGCAGGTCAAGGCTGTGGTGGCCGGGAGCGGCCACTGCACTCCAGTCTGGGTGACAGAGTGAGACTCCAACTCAAAAAAAAAGGAGAGGAGAGCCATGACCAGAATAATAGGAGGGTAGACAGGGGACAGCCTTTGCAAATCTTCCTAAATGTATTGAACCTGCCCTGAGATAGTAGGCTCTCCTTTCTGTCCTGAGGAATGGGAGTGGAGAAGAATAGCAATGCAGGGAAGCTTGGGAGGAGGAGGTCAGAGGCTACCAGAGTAGAAGGGTGAGGGATGTCTTCAGGATGGAGGTGACATTTGAGTAGACTCTTTGTTTTTATTTATTTATTTTTTTTTTTGAGGCAGAGTCTCTCAGCCACTGCCGCCTTGACCTGCTGGGCTCAGGTGATCCTTCCACCTCAGCCTTCCAAGCAACTGGAACCGTAGGCATGTGCCACAAACGCCTGGCCAATTTTTAACTTACGAGGTCTCACCAAGTTGCCCGGGCTGTTATCGAACCCCGGAACTCATGCAATCCCTCTTGCCTCTTCCTTCCAAAGTGCTGGGATCACAGGCATGAGCCACCGCGCCTGGCTTGAGTAGATGCTTGAAAGCTGCATAAGAATTGGCCAAGTGAAGAGAGGGAGGAGCAGGTGCTTCAGGCTGTGAGGAAGCCCAGGTTAAAGGCATGGAGGGGCCAATAGAGCAGATAGGAAAGTAAGAGGATTTATGAAGATAGAGAGGGGAGAGCACTACAGAGGGGTGCGTCTCCTGCAATTGCCATGAAAGGGGACTTAGGGTCCAGGGCCCATGACGACTTCATTGGCTCCCTCTGTGTGGAACAGAAAGCACACAGGTATCTCTGTGGGGCGTGTCAGGTCTACATAGCAGTGTCTGTAAGAAAGACTTGCCCTGCTATAGAGGAAGGAGGCTATAGGACCAACTTCAGAGAAAATGAGGTAAACGAGTAGGCTCTAAAACACTGGGCAGTAGACCTCAACTGAGGTGGATTGTCCCTTGAAGCAAAGAGCAGTTCCTCACTTGGGAGTTTGGAACTGCCACTGTCACTTGCCCCTGGGTCCTCCTAGGGTTGGTTCTGTGTTTCTTAGGTCCACCAGAAGTTGCTAAACCCAGGTCCATTTCCAAACCATCTCAAGCTGTCATTTGATAGTGTAGCAGTCAGAACACAAATGGAATTAGGCTTATCCTGGTAACCTAGTGACAGATGGGCTGGGTGATAGATGTACTTGGGTCTTGTATGAATCTCATCTACAGTATTCATTTTTTCGAGAGTTTCCAGGGACAGAATGACCCTAGTAAGGATAAGGAATTAGGAGAGTACCAGCTTTCATCTTTGTGCAGCACTTTACATACATTATCTCATTTAGTCCTTATAACAACTCTGCAAGGCTGATACTGATTAGGAACTTTAGACTTGGTAGTTAAGTAACTGTTCCAGGTGGCCTGGTGTGAAATACAACAGGCCCAGTGGCAGTGAGAAGAAGCACAAATGGCAGGGGGAAGAGGAGCACTTAAACACAGTGAAGCCAGTGCTGGATAGAAGGGTATTGAGTAGGGATGACAAGGTGACAGACTCCACTGGGACGTTCTGCCTTCTGAAGAAGGCTTGGAGGGAGTGAGGAAGAACATCCTCAACTTGTTTTTTGGCACAGACAGGTCAGAAATGCTGGAGCAGGCCCGGTCTCAGCATTCTGGGAGACCGAAGCAGGAGGATTGCTTAAGCCTAGGAACTTAAGGCCAGCTTAGGCAACATAGTGAGACCTCCTTTCTATAAAAGACTTAGCTAGGTGTGTGGCGTGCACCTGTAGTTTCAACTACTTGGGAAGCTATGATGGTAGGATCTCCTGAGCCCAGGAAGTCATGGCTGTAGTGAGCCATGATTGTGCCACTGTACTTCAGCCTAGTAACGGAATAAGACCCTGTCGCTTTTTTTTGTTGTTGTTGTTGGAGCATAAGAATAAGCCAATAAATAGCCCAAGGATGTCGAAGAAAGACTACTTCAGAGTGTCAGTTATAGGTGTACCACTTGAGAGCCTGAACCTCTGGAAGATGTGGCTCTTGGGCAGTCACTAGGAATATGCTCAAAACAACTTTAGATCTTTGAGCTGTGGGGGGGAATGGTAGTTAGGGTATGAGTCACAGTTGATAATATCCTGAAAGGTTTGAGGCCATGTTTCCCAAAGATAGACCAGCTTTCCAAAGTGTATAAAAACTCGTGAAACTCAAATTATTTAGACTAAGAAATGGAAAGGGTTCAGTAAGACAACGCAAATTCAGGGAACATGGATCTATAACTTATGGTTAAAGGGAGAAATTTCCAGGCTGGGTGCAGTGGCTCACACCTGTAATCCCAGAACTTCGGGAGGCCAAGACAAGTGGATTGCCTGAGCCAGGGGTTCAAGACCAGCCTGGGCAACTTGACAAGACCTCATCTCTACAACAAATCAAAAAATTAGCCTGGCTTAGTGGCATGTGCCTGTGGTTCTAGCTACTTGGAAGGCTGTGACAGAAGGATCGCCTGAGCCTAGTAGGTTGTGTGACTGGGAGGATGCCACTGCACTCCAACCTAAGTGACAGAGTAAGACTCCTACTCAAAAAAAAAAAAAAAAGAGGGATTTCCAACCTTTTCTCGGGGCATTCACTGCCAAGTCCAAATCCTGACCCGGACCGAAGCTTCTGTAGAGGAGTGTGTTATTTACTTCTGACATACTGATGGTTTAATAAAACAAAAATTTTACTTTATAGAATTTCTGTTAATTTCTAGAATCTCAGGTTTGAAAGGATCCCAGGCTGTACGCGGTGGCTCACGCCTATAGTCTCAACACTTTGGGAGGCTGAGGTGAGAGGATTGCCTGAGTCCAGGAGTTTGAGACTAGCCTGAAGAACATGACGAGACTTCGTCTCTACAATAAATAAAAAAATTAGCCGGACTTGGCACACTCCTGTAGTTCCAGTTACTTGGAAGGCTGAGGTGGGAGGATCGGCTGAGCCCTGCAAGTGGAGGCTGTGGTGTCTATTAACATGCCACTGCACTCCAGCCTGGGCAGCAGAATGAGACTCCAACTCCAAAAAAAAAAAGCCAGATGCGGTGGCTCATACCTGTAATCCCAGCACTTGGGAGTCAGAAGTGAGAGGATTGCCTGAGCCCATGGGTTTGAGACCAGCTTTGGGCAACATGGTGAGACCTCGTCTCTACAATAAATCAAAAAATTAGCCAGGCATGGTGGTGCATGCCAGTGGTTCCAGCTACTTGGCGTCGACTAAGGCGGAAGGATCACCTGAGCCCAGCAGGTTGAGGCTGCAGTGGCAGTGAGCATGCCACTGTACTCCAGCCTGGGTGATAGAGTGAGACTCCGACTCAAAAAAAAAAAGAAGAAGATAGGATCCCAACCTCAAGTCTACTCGCAGGCCTCTTCCTCTTAATGAGTTGAACCATTCTAATGCTGACCTTTCTGAAACCCTGTCAGTCTGGAGCTTATATGACTATTTCATTTCTCCTGATATCCTTAGAGAAAGCGTCGTGGTGGAGCAATAAATTCTAGACAAACTCAGAAGCGAACTCGGGAAGCAGCCTCCGCTCCTGAGATTTCTTTGGAAGCAGAACCCATAGAACTCGTGGAAACTGGTAAGGTTGCCAAGGTTGCAGTGGGGTGATAAAGTGGAGATGCTCTGTGGTGTAGAAGAGAATGCAGGCTGGCATTAGTCAGTGCCCAGCACTGCCCCCTGCCACTCGTGGCCTCTGAAAATTATGTACCCCTTGTGAGCCTTTTGTTTCTTCCTCTGCAGCAAGGGATACTGGTACCTATAGCATGCAGTTGTCATAAGGCTGAAATGAGTCCAAATTGTAAAACACTTAGAACAGTGCTTGGCAGATAACAGTATACAAAGGTGAGCTACTAGAAGCAACTGTCAGTGTCTTTGAAAGACCTATGCAATCTCAGACTCACCACTTATAACTCAAAGCTCCACAGATTCTGAAACAGGGTTGACTGACCATCCAAACCTCTGGCAGTATACAGCAGGAAAGATAAGACTGCCCTGGCCCACCTCTTCTTTTTGAAATTGGAATCACAGCCGGGCTCAGTGGCTCAGTCTGTAATCTCGCGCCTTTGGGAGGCTGAGGTGAGTGGATTGCCTGAGCCCGCGGGTTCGAGACCCGCCTGAGCAACTTGGTGAGACCTTATCTCTACAATAAATCAAAAAAAAAAAATTAGCTGGCTGTGGTACCGCGCGCCTATAGTTCCAGCTGCTTGGAAGGCTGAGGCGGAAGGATCGCCGGAGCCCAGCAGGTTGAGGCTGGGGTGGCCGGGAGCAGCCACTGTACTCCAGTCTAAGCGACAGAGTGAGACTCCAACTCAAAAAAAAAGATAAAATTAGCTGTGTGTGGTGGCATGTTCTTGTAGTCCTAACAACTCTGGAGGGAAGATCACTTGAGGCCAGGAATACAATACAAGGTTGCCGTGAGCTATGATTACATCATTGCACTCCATCCTGGTTGACAGAGCAAAATCCTGTCTTTTAAAAAAAAAAAAAGTCAGCCAGGCTTGGTGGCTCAGGCTGTAATCTCGCGCTTTGGGAGACTAAGGTGAGTGGATTGCCTGAGCCCGTGAGTTCGAGACCCGCCTGGGCAACTTGGCAAGACCTCATCTCTACAATAAATCAAAAAAATCAGCCGGGTGTGGTAGCACGTGCCTGTAATTCTGGCTACTTGGAAAGCTGAGGCGGAAGGATCACCAGAGCCCAGCAGGTCGAGGCTGCGGCGGCTGGGAGTGGCCACTGCACTCCAGTCTGGGCGACAGAGTGAGACTCTAACTCAAAAAAAGAGGGGGGGTCAAACCTGTAATCCCAGCACTTTGGGTGAGGGGATTTCCTGAGCCCATAGGTTCGAGATCAGCCTGGGCAACACGGTGAGACCTCATCTCTACAATAATTCAAAAAATTAGGCATGGTAGCACACACCTGTAGTTCTAGCTTCTTCAAAGGCTGAAGCGGAAGGATCACCTGAACCTATCAGGTCGATGCTGGGGTGGTCATGAGCATGCCACTGCATTCCAGCCTAGGCAACAAGAGTGAGATACCCACTCAAAAATAATAAGAAGTAAATTGTTTTTATAGCTATGATACCAGAAAACTGATATTTTAAAGAGAATCAGCTTAGTGTGATGTAAATTTCATGGGCCCCCAGAGTAATGAAGTTCTCTGGTTTGAGATTGACTTGTGACAATTCCTAAAGTCCTCTTTTTTTGAGTCAGAGTCTCACTCTGTCACCCAACCTAGAGTGCAGTGGTACACTCATGGCCACCACAGTCTCAACCTGCTGAGCTCAGGTGATCCTTCCAAGTAGCTGGAATTACAAGCATGTGCCACCAGGCCTGCCTACTTTTTAAAAATTTATTATAGAGGTGAGGTCTAGCCAGATTGCCCAGGCTGGTCTCAGGCAGTCCTCTCACCTCTGCCTCCCAAAGTGCTGGGATTATAGGCATGAGCCACTGTGCCCAGTTATAATACTTGTTCATGTCAATAGTAGTCAGAAACATAAGTGGTTGTAAATTATTTTTTAGTTTATATAAATGGAAGTGGTACTTTGTCCCTCATTCTTACCTGCCAGACATAACTGCCGTTACCTGTTTGGTTCACGCTCTTCTCACCTTCATGCTGTGCTCATGTGGACATCACCATAAACCCTAGGGCTCAAAAAACAAGTTTTGTAGTAGGCTCGATCCATTTTTGTGTGTTGGATTCTAGGGGACCTATAAGTATTTGTTTTTCTCCATCCATGTTGCGAGGCACTTCAGAAATACATAGAGATTAAAAGTTCTCCCTAAATGATCAAGTTACTAAGCCAAGCATGACCTTAGGTTTTGGGCTGCTTCTTCTGCTGGGAGGAGCAGAGGTTTTAGGCTATTCCATCCCAAAGAGAAGAGAAAAGGCCTTGAGCTGAGCATGCTTGGTGCCTTCTCCCAGATGTCCCATCCAGTAAGTCACTGCCTCTCTACTGTGGAGGAACAGGTGGGACACAGAGACATAACCATGTGGGAGTGGGATGCCATAGGATAGAGGTGTGCACACATGCATGCAAACACCCTATGTTATATTTGTCAAAACCATATACCCTCATCATGGTAGAATTCTGTAAGGACATTTACTTGCTTTCATTCCTGAAAAAACGATTGGTTCTGATGCTCAATGCATTGTGTACTTCAGGAGTTTTTAATTTGGTGTAAGTCTGTACTACATTTGTAATCATACTAATAAAACTTAGAGGAATAAACTCTTACTTTCCTCTTAATGCTTGTATAAATGCTTTCTTTCAAAGCTGGAGATGAAATCGTGGACCTTACTTGTGAATCTTTAGAGCCGGTGGTTGTCGACCTGACTCACAATGACTCCGTCGTGGTAAGTGTTCTGAGTGTGAGAGTTGGTTTTGATCTCTGATGACCTTGGTCACAGATTACAGGTCAAGGTTATAGCTTGTGCTGAAGAAGTTTGTGTATTCAGAGCATAAAATGAAAAAGAATTCAGGAAAATTACTTGTTATGGTTTTGTTGCCTGTGGAGTAAGTCCTGACCTGTCCACAACTGAGCACAAAAGTAGATTGGGGATAATCTCAAGGCCCCCACATCTTCAGTCCTCAATTCCACACCAGTTGTGTATCAGTGAACATGTTACTTACCTTCATTTACTTTATTTGTAAAATGAGACAGTAAGTTACCCGTGTTGGTAGGATATTGTGAGGATTGAAAGAGATCTGTTATGTGAGTATCTGGCACCTAGGATGGTGCCTAGTCAGTGTGACTTTATATCCTTCCAGCAGGCCCAATCTTCTTCTGAAGAGAAAGGGAATGTTGGCTCATCACTGCCAGTGGGAAATCTCCCATGTTCCAAAAGCAAAGCTCAGTTAGCTTTGCCTCAGAGGATGCAGGCTACATGATGCCTTACTGTTTCCCACCTCCAAGGAGGATTGAACCCAGCAGACTGCTTGTGTTCCCTTCCCATGACCCTGGTTATAGACTCTAGCAGGGAATGCATGAGACCCATGTACAGCCTTCAAGGAATGAGGCCTGGTCTAGTCAGAGGATATGGGGAGAAGTGAGTTCTGATAGACCTATTCCATGGTACACACGTGTGTGTGGGTCTGGAAATCTGGTCAACCCACTGACCAGCATCCTAAGGGCAGATTTGCCTCTCTGGAGGATGCCACTTGAGTGTTTTCTGATACAGTATGCCAGGACTGCAGTTTGGGGAATAGGAATGATGACACACTTGAAAGCATTGGTGGGTGGGTGGCAGGTGCTGCAGAGCAGGACGCTGGGGTGCAGTGGGGGCTGCTAGTAGCTGAGTCTTTGCCTTGGTCCTGGGTTCACTGGTATTGGTGGTGTCCTGTCTAGCTGATGCTGAGCTATCAGAACAAGGACAAGCATAGATGTTGCTTCCGGACTATACTTAGAACTTCAGAATAGGGTTGCAGTGAAAAACTCCCAAACTTCAGTAAGAAGAAAAGGTGGGGATGAGAAACCATCCTGACAGATTTAGACTCTGGTCTTGGTTTGAAGCCACTGGGCTCTCCTGTTGTCATTGTCTTCCACCCTCAACCACTAGACTGCCTCTGGCATCTGACAAGGTCATGGATGAATGCTCAGGGAGATATTGGCCTCTAAGTGGGAGCTAGTGTTTTACTTGGAGATGGATTAGAACTTTCTGAGAGAAGGAGTAAATTTAGTCATAAGTGGCCTCTACTTAGACCTCATTATTGTGCTTTCTGTGGTACATACATAACTTTGCTGACAGTTCCCATGGACCCATTGGACTTCTGAAAAGATAGCTTTAGCCGGGCTCGGTGACTCAGCCTGTAATCCCACGCCTTTGGGAGGCCGAGGTGAGTGGATTGACTGAGCCCGCGGGTTCAAGACCTGCCTGG